GTATTTTTTTCTCAAAACTTTTTCAAAATGTACCAGCTTCTCAACAACAGTTTTTAACTGAAAAAAAAAAAAATGCCCCCAGTCTTCAGCTGCAGTGCGATCATATAAATACTATTTAACTCAATTATACACTGTGTGTGTTTGACTAGCATAAAAGACTTGTGCCCAAATTTTCCCCCCGATTTTTATGGCTTGCTGTGAACATTTAGCATTTCAAAATATATTAAAAAGGAAATTCTAAGGGCCTTCATTATATGATTACCTTGCTTGCACAGGAAATCATTTCCTTCTAAGCCTTGTGCTTTATCTGTTCTGATTTCTGAATTCATGGTGAATCTTCCAGCATTTGGGTTTTTTCTCTGACCCAGGCAATTTACCACCTTGGTGAAAAGGAGCCCTCAGAACTTCACCACATCACGCAATGTTCTAATAAAACACAAGAGGGCAGGTTTTGCCTTATTTCAAGCCCAATTCAGCTATGCTGTTAATCAGGAAAGTCGTGCTAATTACACATTCAGAAAGGCTCAATAACATACGCAGTGAATGAGTAATCAGAGTGTGTACACTGGCAGGAAATCTCTGGCACTTTAATAAGAAGAACAAGTTTAAGCCTTTCTACGGGGCCTGCCTTACAATGCAGAGAACAATTATATTGGGGAGACACTGGCATAGTTTTAGCTTATGTTTATAAACCTCCAAGGGAGCAGAGAGTGGCTAGAAGAAGAAAGGACCAAATTCAGTCATATTACATCCAAGAAGTCTAACTTAAATCAAGGTGGCAAATAACACAAGTGGGTTACTGATTTCTGCCAGACAAATAAGGGGCCCAGTGAAAATACAGAGAGCATTCCAGCCTTGACCTGGAACCTTGCGCTTTTGTTTGGTTTGTTTACTTTCAGAAGATTTTAACTTATCCAATTGCTCACAATTTTCCTAGGCTGCCTTCAAGATTTCTTTAAATGACCTGCAAAGCATAATTAATTCACAAGCTTTATTTTCAGCTTGAACCGTCATTATAACTCATATCCAAATATCATATCATCTTTGGAGAATTTTCTAAAGAAACTCTTGGACACATGAGGGTAAGAAAGGCACTGGTTTGTCTGGTTATATAATTTGCACACTCACTTCTTCCACTGAAACAAGGCATATAAGATATCAGGTTGTGGAGCGCCCTAAAATGACACGGTGAGGTCCTAACTTCCTGTCCTTGTCCCTACAAATAGTGGAATTAAGGCCTAGCAATGGTAGGGAAAAGATACCCCCAAGAAGAAAAAAAACAGCTAAAAAAGCATACCCTTGTATTAGGTTGCTTGAAGTAAAATTCCACTTACCATAGGCCCATCTCAGAAACTGAAATACAGGTTATTTCTTAGGTCAAGTTCTACTTTGAGATTAATTTACTCATTCAAAAACATTAACAGAGCATACAGGATGAGCAAGGCATTGTAGACATAGGACGAGTCCCACCTTGGGTTCTGCTACTCTGCATTGAGAGAGTAATTATCTTCCCATGTGGGATAAGTTGGCTCTTTTATGTGCCTGTGTCAGTTAACCACCCACAGCTTCTGAGTGCTTCAAGTGCTTTGGTACAATGGCACTGGAGCTGAACAGAGAGGTGTACAACCCGGCCTGTAGGAGCTTCAGATCTAGATATAGATAACAAACAGGACATAACTATCACCTCATTGGTTCTAACGCCATTCTGGCATCTCCAACAAGTTGACTGACCTGGAGAGCTTTCCAGGAGGGTCTAGGAAGTCATTGCTGGGGGTCCCTCTCCTTCCTGGTCAGTGGTTTGAAATAGCCACTCTACCACACTCCTACCCCAGCCTCAGTCTTCAGGCTGTGAGGGAGGGCGTCAATAGTAACTCTTCATCTGGGAAAAGGTGGTGTCTCATTTTTCCTACCTATGTAATAGAGGGCCAGGACTTAGCAATTGTTTAGAGACTCAGAAGTAGAAACATCCGTTTAAGAACTTATTTTCCAAAGTGAAGTCACCATTATATATTTTATATTTATTTTCAAAAATGAAGTAGTTATGTATTATATATACTTATGCTGATAGGTAGATAGATGCTTCCAAATTAGAAGACAATAGCCTGCAACAGATGACCAATAATCTGTAAAACAACTTTTTTATTTTCCTCTTTAATAAGTTTTCTACTTCTTGTTAATATGAGATTAAAATTATTCATTAGGATTAGCATAATTAACAATGTTAAATTCTAAGCAAGACAAAAATTAATGTCAAAGAATTTTAAAATTAGAAAAGAACTCAATTCACAAAGGAAAGATGTTATTAGATTTCACTTCACTTCTGTGTTTAGATTTATAAAAACATTTCTTTGGAAATTATCATTCGTATACATACAATTTTTCTTTTTTTTTTTTTTAAGAGTAACCTTCCCAAACTCACAACAGTTATTTTATTTTTTTAATTCTCACCCAAGGACATTTTTCGTTGCTTTGGAGAGAGAAGGGGAGGGAGAGAAAGAGAAACATCAATGTGAGAAACATCGATCAGTTGCCTTTTCCCATGAGCCCAGACCAGAGACCAAATCGATGACCTGGGTACGTGCCCTGACTGGGCATCGACAGGACCCTTTGGCCTACAAGATGCCGCTTCAACCAAATGAGCCACACTATTCAGGGCTGCATATAATTTCTCTAATATTGAGGATTCAGTATATAAAGATTTAGCATATGTATTCATTTTATTCCAGGTTGAATTTTTTTCCCCCTGTCATTGAGAAGTATAGTTCTACAATGCTCGGTGATATTTTCTGAGTTTATTTGCATAACAGTCAATGTATGTAAATACCAACTTTTTTATTCTGCAGGTTTATTCTACCTTTAAACTTGTTAAAAGGCATTCATCACTGATTTATTATAATATTAGAAAATTTTATTCCTTTTGTATGAACTATAAAATTTGGGAATTACTTCTTTCAGAAAGACATTATAAAATATAGTATTTACAATAAGTTTCAAGCACTATAGATAAAAGTAGTGAAGTATAAATGACTACTCTTTACTTCTACCTCAGATCCTGCTTTAAAGGAATCTTACTGAGAATATGATGTATGAAAATTCTGATATACCTGAAAGATAAGCTAGAGGTGGTTATTTGCCTTACAGAATTACTCATTATAGTTTATCTATAGAAACTAATTTCCCCTGGTGCTTTTAATGTATACTGGATTGATACACAACTTCTCAGGAACACACCTACCATGCACAACTATATCTTCATCTTAATATATATCTCATTTGGTTTAAAAATTGGATGTAAAAATGTGTTCTACAACAACCCTGAGCTGAGAGCATGAACTGTCCAGAGAGAAGCCTGGTGCTGAAGTGTGGTTGAATTCTCCATATATGCCGTTAAAAATAGGAATTGAAATGTGGCTGTGTCTAAGAACGTCCCAGCTGGGCTTCGCCCCACATAGGACTCTGTGCCATCTTGATCTTATCTGCTGAACCTATTCTCAAATACCCCTGTAGTTTTATGAGACTCAAGTGCAGTTCAGATTGGACTTTGTCCATTCTGCTGTTTTATTCCAGGGAATGACACAGGGGTTTATGAATCTTGAACCCTCCAGGCCCCCGTAGGTAGAAGTAGAAGGAAGATCCGGGATCCTCCTCACACTCACCTTTTACTCACATGCATTCCATAGAGAGGGGTTGCAATGGGCAGACAGGCCACCTTCTACATCTGTGATCTCCCCTCTGGTGCACTGGGACCAGACACCAGCAGATGAAATTTGCCTTCAAATCTCAGTAACTGTTGGCTTCTTAGAAGTAGGGATCATGCTGCTAAGTCTAAACATCTTGGTAAATATTCTTCTCTCTCATGATCTGATGATTACTTAGTGGAACATAACCATTTAGTTCTGAATTATTATGTTTTGTATACATGGTTTGGAATTAAATAATAAGACAACCAATCTGCATTCATAAGTAACTGTCACTACAGTGCAGCATTAATGAATCAAAGGTAAAATTTTAAAAATAAGCCAGATGCATCATACATGAAAAATATTTCATCTGAGGCTACTTAGTAAAGGAATTGGTTCAGGGTCAGTCAAAGGGGACCTCAGAGCAATGTAAGGCTGATCAAATTGTCTCGTGTTCAGGATTATATCCTCCCAGCCTTCTCTAGTCAGCCTTTCCTGGAAAGAGGGATTCTATACTTGGTAATAGGATTGAAACTGTACATTAATTAACTAGAAAGCTCTGTAACTGAATCCTTAATCTAATTATGTATCACTATAGGATCCATGTTTATCCAGCTATTGAAACTTGTGATATGTCTACTGTTAAGAGCTTCAGACTTTTGATAAATTCCACATAGTCTGATTTATAAAGGAGAACCAAATTGATTATTCATTTACTCATTCTCCATCCTACTTGGAAAATAAGGCTTATTTTCACTCTAATGGCCATTTAAAGGCTGAAGAGGAAAAGAAGAAAAATAAGCCTCAAGATGACAATCAGAAAGCCACCTAAACGCATAGATATTTATAGCTAAAAAGGAGCTTGGAGACTATTGTAACACCTGCTACCCCGACACCCACCTTGTTACAAATGGAGACACTTGGACTAAGAACGATTGAACCATAATCTTGTCCAAATCACAAACTACACTAATCTGCAAATTACAGTGAATACACACTCTCAACTTTTTATTTATATTCTCAAGAAGCAAGGCACCTTAATCAATATGGGGAATTATTATGAGACACGACAAATCTTCAGCTCTATCTTTGTTTGATGGCAGAGAGAGTCTCAAGCACTGCGGCTTGAGTTTGTTACACACAGAGAGAAACCTAGAAACTACAGCGAAGCATCATCTGCGTTTGGGATCATCACCCCAATAGAATGGGCTGTGCCACAGATCTTCAGCTACAGGAAGAACAGTGGGGATTAGTTTATTCATTGAAAGTGTTCCAGCTACCACTTGGCTGGCTTCTTTTCTAGGGCAAGGTGTCAGCACCCTAGGCTTCTTCTGTGTATTTCTTGTTGTTTAAATGTGTCTCCATCAAGGGCGTATATCCTTTTCGAAGTTTTCTATACCGAAGAAAAGCCAGCAGCATGAAAAGGCCAACCAAAGCCACCAGCATTCCCATAACCGCCAGGAGAGTTGTGGTCCCACTTGGGGTTTCCTCCACTGAAATGAAAGCAGAAGAAAAAGGTCTATGATTGTGATTTTCATCAGCTGAATACTCCCCACAAATGAAAAAATAAACCAATTTGCCTTTTACATGCATTTTGTTGATAATGCAAAACTACACAGGCTGAAATAAAATTTACCTCCCTCTTCATCAACTATTTATCATATCCAAAATTGTTTTTCTTGTGGAAGTAAGAAATGACATTCCATTATTTAAATACAGCTTATTGCATTTTGGATTTTTCTTGTAGTAAATACTTACACAGAACAAACCCTCCAAGGAAGTCTATATAACTACTTTTGTGAGTCAGAAACTCATTTCTGAAAATGCATGCTAAAACGGTACCTGGGGGACTGCAACCCTCGGGGGAACGAATTCTGCCATTGTCTCTATCTTTTTTATATGATGATAAATGTATAAAACAGATCAGGTGGGTTTTCATAACAGAAGATGTTCAATAGCAGGAAGAGGTGAAATTTGTACCCATTTAGACAGTTGTGAATAAAATCTGAATCTTCCACCTGGTAAATTTAAATCTCTACTCAAAAATATTTTATAAGCACTCTTCCACAAAACTAATGGACTTCATTTCTAGTATATCTATGCCTACTTGTCATTTCTTTAAAAATTATCGTATCCTTGGACAGCTGTTCTTAAATTCAGTTTCTCTGCACTGGGTTCTTGTTCTATACCCTACACTTATCTAAATGTAGCTTCTCCTCCTAGTCTTTTTCCTTCCGCCTCACAGAGGACTCGGGCCCATCCGGAGGGGTTGCTCCAAGGGGATTTTTAATTTGTCTCCTTTTGCAGGACCTATTGCCAATCTCAGCTTCTTAAAACACAGATTTTGATTATGCAGTTCTCTGTTCAGGAACCCAAAACGATTGCCTTTTGTGATTGTCCAAATTCCCCTGCTTAGCTTATTTTAATGATTATTTTTTTAAATTGTGGTAAAACACACATAACATAGTTTTTAACGATTTTTAAGTATTTAGTATTCACATTGTGGTGTAATTATCACTACCATCCATATGCAGAACTTTTTTCATCTTGCAAAATAGAAACGGTAACTCACCCAGCTCCCATCCCCCCAGACCCTGGCACCCACCATTCTATTTCCTGTTGCTATGAATTTCACTACTCTTGATACCTTATATAAGAGGAATCATACAGTTTGGGGCCTTTTGTGACTGGTTTATTTAACTTGGCATACTGTCTTCAAGATCCATTCATGTTGCAACATGTAACAGGATTTCCTTCCTCTTTAAGGCTGAATAATACTGCATTGCGTTGGTATATCACATTTTATTTATCCGTTCATCCATCAGGGAATACTTGGGCTGCTTCCACCTTATGTCTTTTGTGAATAAAGCTGCTATGGACAGCGATGTTTAAATATCTGTTTGAGTTCTTGCTTTCAGTTCTTTGGGGTAAATACCCAAAAGCTGATTTGCTGAATCATACGGTAATTCTGTTTAATTTTTTTTGAGGAACTGCCATATTGTTTTCCACAGAAGCTATATACCATTTTACCTTTCAACAAGCAGTGTACAGGCTTCCAATTTCTTCACATCCTCATCAACGAAGGAAGGGAGGAAGGAAGGGAGGGAGGGAGGGAGGGAGGGAGGGAGGGAGGGAGGGAGGAAGGAAAAAGGAACAGAGGGAAGCAAGGAGGAAGGAAAAGGAAAGGAAAGGAGGGAGGGAGGGAGGGAAGGAGGGAATGAGGAGGCTCCTTTCAAAGAAAGCTCCTTTCAAAGATGAATGAATCTCCCACTTAGAAGTCCTATTATTTACCTGGCATATCAACGGCATAGCTGTAGCCAAGTTGGTCTGCGGTTGAAAAGAATTCCTCATTAGTCACTGGAGGGAAGAAAGGAACCATGTTGTACATCCGATTGTGACCAATGGGTGCCAGCTCCTGAGGCCAAGCTTCTGCAGAAGGATTAAATCTTTTCATCCACTCATCAAAAATGGCATCAGTAAAGGCATGGAGGACCTGCAAGACAGTTGAACATGACATTTAGTGTTTATCAGACTCTTTCAATTAGATCAACCTGATTGGAGCTTTCTCTAATATGTAATGGGATTCTTCTTGGCATGAGCAACTTCTGCATACCCAATCTAATCTTAGTGACATACCTACTGGCATTTTTAGTTACGTTTCCAAGAACATATGAAGTATCTCTCCAAACAGGATTAGAAACCCCTTTGCCAAGTGAACAAATGAAAGCTCTGTTGCAGATTTAACATTGGTTTGGGAACCTGGGAGGCCTTCAACAAGTGTATGTTAGTTATTAAGTTCAGAAAAAAAGGCAAGGATGATGAGATTGCATATTCTAGACTGTTTTCAGGGGCTTTTGTTTTAACAGGGGAGAAAGAAAAGGTTGTGTTTACCAGTATTGCAATATAAATGGAGAGTTTAAAAAAATATATATCCAAAATGAGTTTTCAAATTCTTCTTACCTGATACCGTCCTGTGCACTCATTTTGTAACCCTTTCGTTTGAATTTTCAGTGTTATGCCAGCAAAAGAAAGGCTAAAAATGTTGTAAGCGGCATAGTGCTCATTTTCATTTCCTCAAGGAAGCTGGTAAAGTCCTTTAATACAGCAATTACTACATGCTTTAAAATATTCACAGCGAAATGCCCACGTGTATAGCCCCGATTCACAGCAGGGTATAAACGTGCGTTCGGCTCCAGCTCTGTGCCTGGCCGTTGCCTCTCTTCTTTTATTCCTAGACTGCAAGTTTGAGGAGCTCAGAGGCACTGTCTGCTTCTCTTTGCCTCTGTGTCCCCAGTGCCTGTCAACACAAGGCCTATCACATGGGAGCAGGGAGGTGCCTAGTTCAATAAATGCCTATTAATATATTTACTCATCCACTTACCACTATTATTTATGCCCCAAATCTAGCACTATTTAAATTATACGTTTAACTTGCTATTTATTTACCTATATCCCCAAACAAGACCCCTAACTCCTAGATGTCAGAAGTAAGATCTTTTCACCTTTGAGGCCTCAAGCTTGGCATACAAACTGGACAGAGTTGATACTTAATAAGCATCTGTTGGCCAATGACAGTGCCATGCAAAGTAGTTGTATTTTTTGTACAGCTCACCCAAATAGACACCTACTTGGCTGGTGCAGTTTCCTCAGTCTGCAAAGTCATTCCTTCTGGTCTCTGGCATCGGGGTCTTTCAAGGACAAATGAACTTACCGGTCCCTGTCCCGGCACATCCTCCCTGAATGGCCTCAGTTTGAATTCTTCATTCTTTGCACTTCTTAACCCCTTTAATCCTATTGCCCTTCCGGTTTGTGCTACTCTTGTTTATTCAGTAGATCATGTTTTTATATCTTGCCTGAGGTTCCTTGCAGTTTAGTTGCCCCCGTTCAGGCAACACCAGGAGCTTCCTGCCCTGTATTTTGTCCAACTGACTGCATTTGGGATAGAAACAGGAAGCAAGGGATTTACTGAAAGCATTTTTTGTCCTGAGTGGATTTTTAAAGTTTATGGCAGAGACAACCATCTTAAAAACAGAAACACCCAACGATAAGGCCTGGAGTTTTAGAGAGAGAAAAGATTTTTGAATTTCAAAGTCTTGGCTTCGAGTAACAAAATTTAAGTTCCAAAGGGATAATGGCATAGTTTATTCAAAAGCCATACCTATAGAAGAATATTTGATAAGGCAAGTGACCAATGTTTCTTGCAAGTAGCGTTTTAAAAGTCAACTTTGAGAAAGGTCATCACTCCTACTTATGAATTGGTGACTGTATATCTCAGTTATTTAAAACGCATATATTTAATAACTAAATGTGGCATTTGAAAAAGAAGGAGGGGCTCCAAAAAACCAGAATTATTTTCTGGCGGGCAAGCCCCTTGTAGTACAGGCTTCCCCCACTAGGTGAGTGTTCTGGGAACCCATCTGTACCAATGTACCAACTGGCTTTGTTGTGGGAGGTGGGGTTCAGCTTCGGTGAATTTTCTTTTGAAGACTCTTTTAATGAGTTTGCCCGTTTCATGGTGGGTGATTTCCTAGCACCTGCCCACACCGCGCACTGTGTTCAGCAGTTTTTGACCAAAAAAAATGGCATGACCCCCGTGCCCCACCCTCCCTATTCATCCAATCTCTCCTCGAGTGACTTTTTTTGTTGTTTCCTGGATGAAAAAAAGTCCTCAAAGGGAAATGCTTTGCCGATGTGGAAGAGGTGAAACAAAAAATGGCAGAAGCACTTAAGAGGCATCAAAATCGATGAGTTCAAAAACTGTTTTGAGCAGTGGAAAAAATGCCTTGATAGGGGTATTGCATCAAATGGAGAGGACTTTGAAAGTGACTGAAGTTTAAACATGCCAGAATAAATACACAATTTTTTATAAATAAATTCCAAGTTTTGGGGTCCCCCCTCATACTCGGTTATCATAAAACCACTGCCCTATCTTTATAAAAGACAAGCAAAATTATTCAAACCTGCCCTTCACCAATTTGTGTTCATTCCTATTAACATGATCTAACAAAACTACACTTTCTCAGCTATAATGTAAGCAATTGTGAAAGGATCAAGTTAAGAATTATTTAAAATGGCAAAAGGCAAAATGTGGCTAGAGGCACGACGTGGGGAAAGTTTCGAGCAGAAAACTTTCCTTGTACAAGTATTCTCCGCACAAACACTTACTGGTTCGCATGAGCTTACACTCTTTCTTAGCCCCTTGGAATTTTATTTGCCCTTATTTAAAACAAAAAGAGCAGTTTATCATACACATTTTTATGCAGTTAAAAGGCTATGTTTGCACGACATCTAGTACACAGACACATTAATAGATACTCAGTAATAAAACATTCTCCTAACAAAAATTTATTGAGCACCTACTAAGTGCCAGGGACTGTTCTAGAGGTTGGATATGGTATCAATTATCACACATAAGCTAGTGACCACATTTAATACAAATAAAATATAAGGTTTTCATTTTTAAAAAGTCAAAGAGCATGTTGTATTTTGTTACTAACTTACATAGGGATTTCTTTCACGAATTCTCTTAGGAAACCAGTATTTTTTCTCTTCCCCGAAGCCATTATCCTAATGAATGACAGCTCACAGAAAAGTAAATGCAAATGGCTCTTTAAATATATTTTTTAAGAAGGTTCTGGACATCATTTGTAAGAGGAGAAATAAAAATTAAACTCATTAAAATATTATTTTCACCTATCAGATTGGTTTGTAAGGAGGGGAAATCATTCAACCTTCTGAAGGGCAATTTGGCAATATCTACCAAAATTTCAAATACATTTACTTAAACTTTGACCCAGCAATTTTATTCTGTTTTATTCTCACAACTTACCCTACCTATTCACTTATTGCAGCATTGATTGTAAAGCAAAAGATTACAAATCATCTAAATGTCCATCAATAAAAGACTTTAAAAATTTCAGGATAAATCTGTTCTACAGAATACATTTCCTCCCCCCAACCAAAAAAAAAAAAAAAGTAATAAGAAATCCCAATACAGAGTAAGGAAACTGATGTGGAGTGATTTAGAATAGAAAAATATAAATAAAGTCACAGAAGTGTCCATAGTATGCTACCATGTGGGTAAAAAAAGTAGGGAGAAATATATAAACATTTGTGCTTGTGTATTAATAAAACATGAAACATCTCAGAGAACAAAGGAACTGCTCATGGATAGCTGGGAGCTACCAGTGGATAGGTTCCTCATTTTGTGCCTTTTACATGGGAGCCACTAAAATTTAAAATTAAAAAATTTAAGAAACTATAAAATAACCTAAGAATGTGTGCATTATAATTGCAATTATATAAACATGGAAGAATATAAAAGGAAATAAGCAGAAAAATTAAGATGGAATTATAGACATTTTAAAACCTTTACAACAAGATTTCTGCAATTATACATCATTAAAAATCATTAAACCATTAACATTTAAAATTTATGTAAAATATTTTTGTTAGTACTCAAAGCATTAGTTTAATTAGGACTTTTTAAAGAATGATAAATAAAATAGATCTGTTTTTAAGTGCTTCCCTCTTGCAGAGAGAAAAGCCATATCTTACATATTCCTTTTTTAAAATTGCAAGTAAATTCATGTGAACGCAAAAGTATTTTATACTTGTTATTTTTACTAACTATTAATATTACTAATTTTACTGCAGCCCAGAACAGCAGAATCAGAAGGAGCCCCACAGGATTGACTCAGTGTAGTCCATCAGAACTCTGTTTTCAGAAACTCATTTTCTCTCTTCTTGCTCTGTATTCCTAAACTCCTACCTTGTTCAATTGATTGTCATTGTTAAGCAAGGCTGGTGGTATTAAGGCAACTTGCGTGTCTTATTCCATTTAGACTTTCAGCGTAAAACACTGAACAAACACGAACTCTTCAGCAGATATTAACCATGTAACCCACCAATCCCCCAGCCACAGAGGAATGGAAAGAATCAGAACTTGCCAATGTACCTTTCTAAAAGAATAATATCCCAGTTCACTCTAAGAACAGTCTCTTTAGGAATCGGGGAGAGAGTAACCAGTCTCCCACATGGCTACTTCTGGGGGGTTAACTCCACTATCTAACGTTACAGTCTATTGGGTTCCCTCCTTTTCCTCTTTGCTAGGCTATATCTAAACTGAATAGAAGACAGCACTACTTAGCTGTGGCCTCATCTTATTTTTTGTGATAAATGTGTGCATTTCCTTCAATTACTTTAGGAATTACTCGAACTTCAGAAATTGGTTCAGAGCTTTTTCTGCATTTTATCATCACCTTTTACTCATTACTGTGGTCACATACAACTTTGTACCATTCTTACTTGAAGAGATTTCACACACACACACAAAAATCACTTGAATAAATGTATGCAATATATTTGCATGAATTTCCTCATGAATTTGAAACTCTAGAAGCTATAACTCTGTTAACTTAAATGCTTTGAACCTGGCTCTCATGTAAAAAATCATTTAAGACTAAATCGGTTTCAACATGAAACTCTTTGTAAATAGTCTACAGTGCTTGTGGCTAGTACTAAAACATTATTTCTTCAGTGCCTTCCAAAACAAGGCGGTAACTTTTTGTTTATTTTCATGTACCTGATAACACATCCCAAAGAAAAACAAAATTTTAAATATTAAAGGCATTAAGTGTAAAGTAATGGAGACAAGAATGATTGAACATATAGCATCTTTTAGCTGTTATACATGTAAATCACCGAATTCCTCATCCATGAAGCCAGAATGTGGCCTCCCAATTAGAACAGGAGGAGAAGGACTACTAAAGAGATGTCCCATTGCAGACAAGGAACATTAATCCCTTGTAGTGGGGGCTGGCAAATTAAAGCCTGTGGCCAAACAGGGCTTACCACCTCTTTTTATAAATAAGGTTTTCCTAGAACACCACACTCATTTGTTCATATATTCCCTATGGCTGCTTTCATACCACAGTGGCAGAGTTGCTCAGCTGCCACAGAGGCGGCCTGCAAAGTGTAAAATACTTGTTATCCGGCCCTTCAGAGAAAAATGCTGCCAAGCAAGGCACACTTAGTGGGCCTCCTCAAAGGGAAGAAATAAGACAGAGCAGTCCTTGAGACTTGGGATGCTGAAAATCACATCACTAGCATCGCCCTTATTCCCTTTAGTGGGAGGGAAAGATCGGGGGTATAATTCTCAATTCATGAGAGGATTCTGCTTTTCTACTCATAAGAGTTGGGAGTACTGGATAAGGAGCGCTGTGACAATTGTCCTTACGAATATGGATTGCGCGTGCAAATGACCCCCAGTTGGAAGTGTATGTTTTAGGCCACAAAAACAAATGAAATTTTCCATTGCAACAGCATGCATGGACTTAGTGGGTATTATGCTAAGTGAAATAAGTCAGAGAAAGACAAATATCATATGAGTCCACGTGTATGCAGAATCTAAAGAACACAACATACAAACAAAACAGAAACAGACTCCAGTACAGAGAACAGACTGGCAGATGCCAGAGGGAAGGTGGTTAGAGGGCTGGGTAAGAAAGGTGAAGGGATTAAGAAGTACAAATTTGTACTTACAGAATAGTCACCAGAATTTAACGTACAGCATAGGAAATAGAGTCAACAATATTGCAATAACTGTATGGTGCCGGGTGGGTGCTTGAAATATTGGGGGATCTCTTTGCAAAATATATAATTGTCTACCTACTATGCTGTACACCCAAAACTCATATAAAATAACACTGAATGTTAATTGTAACTGAAAAAGAAAATGTATGTTTTAATAAAAACATTTAGAGAGAGATATATAGATTAATAGGCGTATAGTTATATAGTAGAGAAGATAGATGCCAGAAACACTTGGTATAAGCTTATGGCTGGATAATAGCCAGAAAAATGAGAGATACCGAGCTAGAGCCATTGAGCGAGGCAGGCTTCTTAGGAGGAGGACAGACGGCTATGGAGACCTAAGAGGTAAGCTCTCGCCTCATGGGAGGTTGGGACCGATAATCCACACTCGTGACGACCCCTTCTCTTACTGCTACCACACGTGTGGGAGAAATAGTTTTTAGACAGAAGGAATAGCTCCACCATCTGCTCCCATCTCAGGATCTCTTCCAGCCCACGCTTACTATGCTGACATCTATCTGGGGGCCCAGACACCCCTTCAGCCTTCACACCACCAGGCAAGCTTAGAGTCCTGGCGGCTACACCTTTACCCTCCCTCTTCGCATCTCCTCTTTTTGTACCCTGGGCGGAGGAAGTAAGAATAATCACCATCTTTGAAATACCTCTGACTTTGTGCTTGTCAGTAAATCGCCTTAAGGCACCACTCTCTGCTCTGGAGAACAAGATGAACCTTAATTAAGGTCTGGAAATTCAAGGGCAGCGTGCGGTTCCCTAATTCTTTCCCACCAGCTACTATAAAACAAGCTGATATTTTCATGATAACATTTGTGGTGTCCTTGACAGTTCCTAGATGAGCTTCATAAGAGCCTGATTTATTATGGGTTGTCTTGCTGAACGCACAGTTGTTCCCAGCAGCAGGGCGGGCTTGTGACTGGAACTTGGCAGGGTGGCAAACAGGGACTCCGTGGGGTTAGGTCAGCGAGGCTCCCAGACTGTAGGAGGCAGGGCTGAATAAAACGGATTTGATTCATCATCTGGAAAAATAAATTGCTATAAACTCGTGGTTTCAGGATGTGGTGTGCTATGGACTGAATTGTGACCCCCACCTCACGCCCCAAATTCATAGGTTGAAGCCTTAATCTCCCATGTGACTATTTTGGGAGATGGAGCCCAGAAGGAAGTAATTAAGGTTAAATGATATCATCAGGGGGAGCCCCTGAGATGATAGAATTACCATATTTTGCCATGTATAATGCACACTTTTTTGCCCAAATTTTTGAAGGAAAAATAGGGATTCACATTATACCTGGGTAGTACCTGAAATACCTTGTATCTGTTGTTGTGTTTTGTAGTTATTTGTTACATAAAACTTCTTGTAGCATAATATGTTCAAAAATAAATGCTAGAATTCCTTTATAATACAAAAAAAGTACCTAACTATAAATAAATAATTGGATTAAAAATTAAAATGAAAGATTTTTTTCCTGAAAGTTTGGGCCCAAAATGTGGATGCACGTTATACCTGGCAAAGTACGGTAGTATTCATATAAGAAGACACCAGGAGCTCACTCCCTCTCTCTTACTGCCAAGAAAGGACATAGCAAGAGGGCAGGTCTTTCACCAGGAACCCAATAGGCCAGCACCTTGACTTTGGACGCCCCAAGAACTGCGAGATATAAATTTCAGTTGTTTAAGCCGTCCCATCTGTGCTATTTTGCTATTGGCATCTAAGCAGACTAAAACCTATTGCTAAGAGTAACCTTAAGGTGAGAAAAATTTGGGGCGGGGGAAGCATCTAGTGTTCGTTTGCTGCAGTACAATCTCAACTGGGTAAGAATATTAACTGAAAATACTGGCAGAATAAGAAAAGACCACTGCTAAAATTTCTCCTTGTAATTGCTCTGAAATCACCTATCCAAGACATACTGAGACAGGCCAGTAAGCCTGGACATGTGGAACAGGGAAACTGAGACAGACAGTTAAAAGACCCAAGCAGGTTACAGCCATCTGGTAAGTTGCAAAATCCTATCTCGCCTAACCAAGGACACTTAAGAGCATATGGTTTATGCTCCTCCTCTCCAACCAGAGGGTAAATAGCTTAAATCACCCTATTCAAGGAGATAGCAGAAATCCAACTAGTGCCATCGATGCCAACCACACCCAAGGATGGAGGAGTTAAGGGAATAGATCTCATTTTGGCACAGCAGCATAAAGCTGATGCATATTCCATTGAGATCTTCCATTAAGACCTCCCCTAAACTCCCAGCCTTTAAAACCCTCAAGACCAAGGACCCAGGTCATGCTCTTCATCTGGGGAGCACGCCCTAGACTTTCTTCCCTCTCAGGTGTGCACCTTCACTTTTCTCTCCTTAACTCTAAAGTTCTCACAAGACTTGTGACCAGGGGAGCAGCGGGCAGTGGCAGCTTGTCCCAGGCTGACCCCCTGAACCTGTCTCCAAGGCTCCCCCTTTCTCTGACTTTCCAGTGAGCCAAAGCAGCCCCACCTAGGCTCTCTCCTGCTGCTGCTTCTAGTCTACACTCTTCCTTGTCTCACGGTCCCCAGCTTTAATAAGTGTACTCTCCAAATCACCTGCGCTTGTGTTATGAAATCTTTCCTGCAGGAAGTGAAAGACCCACACACTACAGCCCAGCCAGAGGCAGACCAGCTCTGGGCTCAGGTCTTGTCAGGTAACAACAGGACCAAAGTGTACACCTTCAGTCATGCAAGCTGACCCAGCCCGGTTTGCCCATTCAGCTCTACCAGGTTGTTTTATATATCAGAAGGTTGCTGCGATTGGAGGGGGTGTAGTGGCCACATGCCCCTCCCCATCTCAAGCAGATTTGCTACTAGAGGGTGTGTAACAATGAAAGCAAATAGAAGAACAAATTCTAGTAAACCTACAAACACTTATTAACAAGTAGGCACAGAAGTGAAAGAAGCTGCTCTTGCACTCCCAGGGAAGTCCGCAGGCTCCTCCAACAAGCGCCTCGCATGGAAGATTCTCTGCAAAGTGGACACATGGTATTCTGACAGCAGGAGCAGCTGATTTCCAATCAGAGTCCTTTGTGAGGTGAGCGGCCAAGACCAAACACCGAGCAGAGCTTTGGACTCAGCGCGCTGCCTCGAAGGTGCCAGCCTGCAGGACCTCATGCCACAGTCACGCTTGTCGGCCAAGTCCCCCCAGCCCGCCACTCATCTTCCACGCCGCTGTTTCCACCCGTTAAAGGTCATGTCTCGTTACGCTAATTTATGACACATTATGCTAAATTATTATGTAATTTATAATATCATTACATAAATTTATGGTTCTACCTCTAGATTGTAAACGCCTATGCAGCATCATTCCAAAGCTAACCATTTCCAAAGCACAACATTCTGATAAAGGGGACTTCAGATGCTATCTAACCACCCCTCTGGTGAAGATTAAAATTAATTTACATATGCGTATATACCGTTATTCACACAGAGAATAAAACACAGTTTACACTTTAACGGTATTGAAAAGCAAATAAATCCAATATAATACCTAGAAAAAATTTTATCTATTCTGACGTTTTGAACATACCACAAAAATGGGATCATTGGCGGCAGAATGTGGCAAAGCGCTTGTCCCATTCAGGAAGGCGTGAACCAGATTATGAAGGCCCATCACGTTGAAGTCCAGGGTCCCATTCGCTTTATCAAACCCCTCCAGGGAATTCCTGAGAGAAATCAGCATGTCAACAACCATAGACAATTGATGAAGGCATTTTTATATGCTCCCGCCTACATAACCATCTCCTAATTGGAGATTGTGTAGGGAAATGGGAAGCTCTGTCGTGACTCATGAGCTGAAACAGCCCCAACCTTTACTGATGCCCTTCTCTAAGCGGGTTGGGGACACTTATTCAGTACTAGTTCACCTGCTCAGCTGGACTGTATCTCTTTTGTGCACTGGATGACAATTGTCTACCTTCACATCTGTCTCCCGTGCCAGACGATGAACCTCTAGAGGGCAGAGCTCCTCAGAATCTTATTGTCAGAGCTCAAGACCATGCCCAGCACATGGTCTGTGATCAATAAGGTTTTTTGAATTAAGATATAATCTTATATTCTTATTTCTCAATTAAACTGACCCGCAGAGTAGCTGTAATATATATTAAGGGTTCTAAACACATCCCAAACTTTCTCCATCCTTTTTTTTTTTTAATTCTCCGATTTCAGGAAATTCTAAATGTCCATACCCTAACTCAGTGATCCCCCAAGGTAAGCATATAGTAGAATCGCTGGAGAAAACCATTTATTCATGCCCCGCTTCCAGAGTTTCTGATTCAGGAGGTGCAGGCTGGGTGCTCACAATTTGTATTTCTAGCTAATTCCTAGGGGAGGCCAGTTATGGTGGTCTGGGCACCCTACTTTGAGAACCACTCCCTTAGATCAACATGGAATGCAATCTGTGTCAAAAGCATTTTTTTTAAGACTTTATTTATTTTTAGAGAGAGGAAGGGAAGGAGAAAGAGAGGGAGAGAACTATCAACGTGTGGTGTCCGCTGGTACGCCCCCTACTGGGGACCTGGCCTGCAACCCAGGCACGTGCCCTGACTGAGAATCGAACAGGCGAACCTTTGGTTCTCAGGCCAGCATTCAACCCACTGCGCCACACCAGCCAGGACAGTGTCAAAGCCTTTTTATCACAAAGGAAAACTAAGGCATGTTCCTTGTGAAGACGGTCTTCAATGTTGCCCTTTCTGTCACACTGCTGCCCTGAAGGCTGCACCAAACCCGTCCCAGACCCTGAGACCTGCTACATTTCACACAGCCCTGCCTGTGAGTTCAGCTGCCCTGCGCCTGGCTCCGAAGATCCTCAGTTATATACTTTACACACAGGAAACAGACAGAGCGCCCAGTTCAGGGGAAGAATATCAATCTACCCGCCATTTCTTTTTGGAGTCCCATTCATGTTCACTTGAAATTTTATTTAGACTCATACACATTTCTTACTTTTTAGAGGAGTAAAAACTGGCCTTTAAATTTCAAGCAGAGTAAAGTCATTGCTCTCCTGTAATTAGAGTTGCATTAAGTCTGGGATACCCCTCTGAGATATCAGACCCTAATATTAAGGTATATGGAAGAGATTTTTTTTTTTAAAGACAGGAAAGTAAACAAAAGAGCAGGAGCAAATATTTTTTAAATACTATACATAATGAGGTACTCCAGTTCTGAAGACTGTACCCATCCCTGTACAGAAATTAGAAATACAAAAAAATAATTTTAAATAGCAAAGTGATTAAAACTGCACTATAAATCATAGTGGGTGGGTGATGCTTTTCTAATGCTGATCCCTTGTCATCGCCTCTTTTCAAGCCCCCCCTCCATTACTTAGCTTTGTAACAGTCTCCTACCACCTGATTTCCTCTCAGTTCAGTTCGGCCACAGGAAGGAAAATCTAACAGCGTTGTGAAGCGCCAGCTTCGCAGAGCTCAGGGCACCTACCTGAAGCTGAAGGTAGAGTTCTGGAAGAAAGGAGGATTGTCAAACTTCTTGAGAGACAGACAATCTTGTACGTCTTTTAAGGACGGCAATTTCTCACCATTTCTTCCCACTTGATTTCTTCTTAACAACCCTTCATAGGTTCCATTACACAGAGTGACGTGGCGGTTGTAGTCATCCAAGCTAAGGTTCGTGAGGGGATTAAGAAGGATATATCTTAGAGTGCAGATAGGATCGTTATATTGGACCAAGCAAACCAATCAGAGTAATGCATTAAAAGGTACCGCAACTACCTTACAGGGGTCGAAACTATGTGGTGAAAGGACTACCTCCGAAAGTAATTTTGGATTAGTTTCAAAAACAGATTCAAGAAATGATTTATGAATAAATATGTGTAATAATTACCATTCCCTGGAACAACAGAAAGAGGGTTTACAGACACTATGGTGATTCCGATTATGTACCTTGAATGTTGAGTAACTGAAGAGAGGGTAGGGTGACTGGTACTGTACTGAACTAAGCCGTTTTTGGCAGAAGGGCCTATGTGAAGTTAGGGAACCATTTTAGGCAAACGGAAGGCCCATGGAGGTGGCCAGAGTGGAAACAGACGAAACCATATGGAGGGGAGGTGTTAGGACAAACTCTCTATTAGAAAATGTTCTAGGGCAGTGAGGATGGTTATGTCACAAATATGGAGGCTGAGAAAGTCCCATGCCCCCAAAATATTCTACTCTACATGCCTGTTGTGGTCTGAAATTCCACCCTCAGAATGTTATCTCATCGATAGAGATAAAACGTTAAAGCTGTTCCTGTGTGGGTTTTAACAGGTGAAGAGATAGTACCAGGGGTTTGAGAATAGAATCAGTGCACGTGAGGATGAATTGGTCAGTACCGAAAACTCAGCAAAAAAAAGATCTCCAAGACAGCATTTCCCCAGTGGGTGCCAGGGAGGTGACCTGGGAAACGAGGGTGCCACGGTCAGATAAATGTAGGCCCCTCTTGAAGAATAACAATATGTTTACATAAGAAATGCTCTGAGTCATTCTGAAATTTAAAAAAAAAATAATAATCTTTTTATTCAGCATTGACTAAATTTATAGTAATCGCTTTTCACGTACCACCCACTAACACCTCAAGGCGCTATGAGAAACGGGGCTTTAGGAAATGATGCTAAGTCACGTGACACACAGCTGTTAGCCCCTCTGTGCTGTGGAGCACTGGCCGCAGCGCTGCAGGGAAAGCTCCAGACAAGGAGATGGGGATCCAGCTGGCCAGGCTCAGACCCCCGGAAACACGCGCATACCCAGCCCCCGGGGTGCTGACAGCGAACCCCTGTGCCCTGGAACAGTCGAAAGGCTCGGGACAGGGAAGCTAGATTAGCAAGGTTAAAAACAGTATTTTGGAAGGAAAAAATAAGGGAAGTCCTCTTGAGGAATCTTTTTCTGAGGCCTGTGCCAGGGAAGAGAAGTGAGTTCAAGGACTCACTGAGGACAGACTTCTTCATGGGCTGCAGGCTGCTCCCCTTCTATGTTCTTTAGTGCGTAGAGCTCATCCTCCACCTTTCCCTCCCAACCCCCAGCACCCCACGGTCCAGCCATGCCAGACTGCCTCCAGAGACTCCTCTAGGTCCATACGTGACATTCTCTCCGCCTTGGACACACCACCTCCCCACCCGGTTGAGGGCTATGCCTCCGTCTCTGCTCCTTAGAGCCTTCCCCTGCCTCCCTCCTTGGCTTTGCATATACATCTATTATGATACTTCCCGCATGGTAGGATAATTTGTTTACAAGCAACCCACCTGTGTAAATATAAAATGATATTCAAAAGAGAAGATATATTTTATTCTTCCCTACATTCCCAGCACTACAGCAATACTTAGAGAGTGCCTGGTGCTAAAAAAGGTGATCTCAAAATGACAGCCAAGCATCTTCAATTCACAAATGTGGTTTTCATACCTCTGTTTTTATGGCAGTGCTTAGAATTTCTAAAAATCCTACCTCCCCCAGGGAAGTCATTTTCAGAAGTGCATAAACAGAACCCAACATGCATTAGAAACAGAAATATTAAGTGACCCTCCATCTCTAAGCCATAAGAAAATACAAGCTCTGGATTTCCATCCCAGATCGTATGTGATTACCTATTACAGACAATTTCCCAGCTGGAGAATCTTGAGTTCTGACTAATCAGAGTTGGGTCATCTTGGCTTGCTGCCCCGAGCAGTTGGTCTGTACACACATCACACTCGTTCCTCCCAGTGGCAAAGTTCCAGTAGGGCAAAGCAAAGGACTCATTGCCAATAAGTCGCTAAAAGCAAAGGGCATGACCAGTTGTTTAATGAATGCCATCAGATGCAACAAGAAAGCATATAATGCAAAGAGGAAGAAGGGTCTTCACCAAATGTATAGCAAAATTTAAACAACAAAAGATAGTGTTTTCACCAACCTGGAGATCTCTTTCCAAGCACAGCAAATGATACCGATGCCAGGTGACAAAGGCGGGTCCTTGGTGTGAGAAATCAATGGCCTTGAATGGGCGCCCTGGTCCTAAAACAGGGGGAAACTAATTAGAAATCACAGAATAGAGTTTTTTTTTAAAAAAAAAAAAAAACTAGGATGCATCTGCAAAGCCCATAAATCCACAGTGTTTTAGTCCAAAAAAAAATCACTTTTGTCATTTATCTTTCTGAAAGCAACAACAACATCAAAAGCAAAACAATTTTGGAAGCAACTCGCAATTTTAGGATAAATTCTCCTTCACTTTTTGTAAGTTTGACTGACAACAGAGATCCAGAGAAATTCAGATCACTCTCAGCTATAAGAGCCTATGTTATATATTTAACTTCAAGCAACATTTCATTAAGAAGAATTCAGAGCATCCAAAGGAATAGATCATTAAGACCTAAATGCAATATAATTTTAGAAGACAAGTTCTAACTGATTTCTTACAAATGCATATATTTATAAAAGAGGGATTAATTAAAATAAAGCAACTTCTACTGCACTTAGTTGAATTCAGCATTTATGTAACCAAAAGGAACTTCCACGGATTTTGCCTCAGCCATCAATAAGATACAAGGACTGGTGGACAAGAATGGTTGCCGAGAGTAGAAGAGAGAAAAATACATTCCAACCAATTTGCCTGGCCACTGGAACTGCCAATTTTACTGAAAAGTTGTGGGCAATTTAATGACCTCCTTATCGGTTGTTCCATCCTTCTTCCTCCTTTCATAACAGCTTTTGGTGGTTATGTAGAAACTTCAGCTAACTTTAGCTCTTCTTCAAAGTACCTATAATAACTTCAGAGAGCTAGACAGACATGAATATAAATTTAATTTCTAGGTACGACCAGAAACTATAGTTTTCTTTTCCTCTTGAGAGACTAGCCTCTCATAAAGCAAAAATTCCTCCAAGTCTCGACAGGAAAGCTATAAAGGTGTTATAGCCAGAAGAACCTCCTTGTCTATCGATAAAGGAAGACAGACACTTACTGGAGAGGCAAGTTTCTAAAAGACACTGAGGAAGGTCTACTCCTCCTGTTGGCCACGCCGTCCTTTTAAAGTGTTCTCACTTTCAAGTTTAAAGTGAGAACAAAGTTTAAAGTTCTCAAAACAAAATGACGAGGGGATGATAATATGGTATGTCAAGTATAACTGAAAACTTTTTTAAATTCAAAAATACAAATTAAAATTCAAATTAAAAAAAAATGATGAGGGAAAATCAAGTGACAGGGAACCGGTGAAAAACACACAGACAGAGAGTCCCACACGAGGATGGGACTATTCAAAGTTAGTTTGATGTCCCCATCTGCCCTGCCCCTCAGGGAGGGGCTCCCAAAGCGGGGATCTGTGCAGGTAGAGCCAAGGGTTCGGGACTCCACTGAGCAGACCCCGGAATGGACTCATGCCCTCCTGGGCCACACTAGTGTTTACAGCTTTTGCCTGACTGAAAAATGACTGAGGATGAAGCGGAGCCTCCTCAGTGAATGGACTTCCTAACAGGTAACCATCCCCCTCTCCCCAGCCCATTCCAATTTTAGGACCCAGAAGGGTAAGACATGATTTTCTCAAGCATCCAACATAGCTGTAGTCAGACCACTAAGCCAGAAGGAGCACTATGCTGCTGGGCCCGGTGCATGCTTTTTCCTAACAATGCAACTCCAGGAAAACCCTGGGGAGCCCAGCCATAAAGGACGACCCGAACATCCAAAGGCTGACACTTGTGAGTTTAATGAGATGCCTCCAACACACTCCAGTTCTGCCCAAAGAAGCTCTCTGTGCTTTAGCACATGTTCAGTCAATCCCTCTAATTTGAAGCAAAGGTCAGAGAGAGCCTCCTTGGCTGGATTTAGAAATGTTGCCTTCTGGAATCAAAAAGAACTTGCTTCCGCTTCACCAACTCTTACCTGTAAGAATTAATAGCTCCACGGAGAAGAGTTAGACTTGGAACTGAAACTCATTTTCACACGGTGGCAGCCGATGTACAGGAAGGGGCTGCTCCAGCCCGCCTTCCAGCGGCCTTCGACGGTTTTCTGACTTTCACAAACCTGCCCCTCCCTTCAGGTGGTGCTCTTGTTAATTGACTTGCCTGAAGTTACTTGCCACCCAGCCACCCCAAACCCAAACCTATAATAATATACATTAATCTGAGGGGGGGGGGGCGGGAAACCCACCTAATAACGTGTCTCTGACAGAATAATAATGGAGCCATACAAAGAAATCGTAGATGCTGCAGTTGGCGATCTGTGGCTGGGTCCCATTGGGCCCAAGCAGGCCCAGCCAGTGCTGCGTGGTGATCACGTAGTCGGGGTGCGTGGTGTTCTTTGCGAGGTCTAAGGCACCCAAGAACTGCTCCCTCTCCTGAGGAGTCAGAAAATGAATGTCCCGTCGAACAACCAGTGGTTTCTTCCGGTCACAGTTGGAGCCGGTCCAGCCAAACTTGCAGTCTCCACAGTTATAGCCCGCAAAGTTTCCTAAAGTATTTGGGGGGTGGGGGGAGGGGAGAGATGGAAGAAATAAGTTGATATTGTTTGAAAGAAATTTCTGAATTTGAACTTCGGGGCCAAATGGAAGAGAAAGATGAAGGTGCTAACAAGAGGGAAAATAAAGCCAATTTCCTTCCCTTACTCTCTTGAAATGTTTGTATCTTAACATGAAACTGAAAGCTAGAGACTTCCCTAGAAATTTTTCTGGCAAAGAAACAGGGTGTGAAATGCATTACATGCCGTTATGGGCTGAGCAGTGTCTCCCTCAAATTAATACAGTGAAGTCCTCACCCCCAATACCTCAGGATGGGACTGTATTTGGAGACAGGGACTTCAAAGAGGTAATTAAGTTAACAGAGGTCATTAGGGTGGCCCCTAATCTAGTATGACTGGTATCCTTCTATGAAGAGGAAAATTGGACACAGAGAATGAAGACACAGGAAGAAGGAAGCCAAACCTGCCAAACATCTTGACCTTGGACTTGAAGCCTCCTGAACAGTGAGAGAATGAATTTCTGTTTGTCACCCAGTCTGTGGTACTTTGTTATGGTAGCGCTAGCAAACCAATCCCATGTTGTCTTCTATACACGCCTTCCTCTCACGGGTCCCACAGGGTGTCCCTTCCTACGTACTCTCCACGCCCCTCCCTGGGACCGAGCAGTAGCCTTGATGTCTGCTGCTGAGCCCCGCGGTCCTGTGACGTACACGAAAACGCTGACCCAAACCAGTTTGTCCATCTACAGAAGGAGAGACTACACGCTAAGCTAAAAAGGACACTGAAATAAATAAACAGATTTCCAAGAGTTTAGGTGAAATCTAACATTAAGAAAGCTGGTTTATTTCTCAAAGGAGACAGAGTTAAGACAAAATCAATGGAGGCTGGCAGGTGATCAAGGTGAATTAGCTGCGATGGTGTCAGGAGGTGCAAATCACTGCAGGTTTCCCGTGGATGCACAAATGTCTCCACTCTGTCAACCCAGGGAATGGGGGCTAGTCATCTCAAGCACCATGCATCTTTCTGAATCATGCTGAGGTTTAAATTATTTTATCTTGCTTTTGACTTTTCCCTTCTTAGTCTTGATTATTGCTTTTGTTACGGCCAGCACCTCATTCTTTAGATGGTGATAAGTTAGAAAGTAAACATTTAAATATATTGCAGTGAAATGTTGAAGCAAAAAAGGATAATAATACTTTTCTCCCAGGGGATGGGAGGGGTTATGTGAAGCATTTCACCTGGGTGACCAGTGCCCAGGCTTACCTTCCTCCTCCTCCTCCTCCATCTCACGTTTCCAGACCTTTTTACTTGCTCTTCCTTCTGTGGTTGCCTAGGTTACCTACTCCTCCTTCAAGCTACAAGATGGGTCTTCCACGGGGTCATCCTTGATTCTAAACACCAGGGACAGATGCTCCCTCACTCCCATAATCCCTCCCATTCCCCTTTCATTGCATTTATCACAGAGACTAAGAACTTCTACTTGTCTCAGCCACAGGCAAGCAGAGCTGCAGCCTGTGCTTGGCCTTGTACAAATGAGTATTTGTTGAATAAATGAAAGAAATATAGAGCCAGCCCTGGCTGGTGTGGCTCAGTGGATTGAGTGCCAGTTTGTGAACCAAAGGGTCACCAGTTCAATTCCCAGTCAGGACATATGCCTGAGTTGCAGGCCCAGTCCCCAGCTGGGGGCGTGCAGGAGGCAAGAAATATCTTACACATCAATGTTTCTTTCCCTCTCTTTCTTCCTTCCCCTCTCTCTAACAAATATATAAATAAAATCTTTTTTAAAAAAAGAAATATAAAGCCAACTCACCACAATATACACTTTAAATATCTCACAGTTTTGTCAATTACACCTTGATAAAGCTAGAATTTTTTAAAAAATTAAAAAGAAAGAAGTAGGTCAACTGTACTTTAACTATTTTTTTAATTTTTAAAGAAAGGAGCAGAAAGCATGTAGCAGATAATTCAAGAAACATAAATTTTCTTCTTTTTTTCTCTCCCTGTCCTGTGGATTAGATAGAAAATCTTGCTTTGTAAATAGTTTTGATAAACAATAAGTACCAAAAGAGAGGTAAGTAAAAAACATTGTGACCATAGCAGAGAGAGAGCTATTTGGGTCTCTAAAAAAAAAAAAAAAAAAAAAAATTCCAGTAGTATAAAAACAAAACAATTAGCTTTTGTACCTTGTAAAGAAAATGCACAGCCCCTTTCTTCTATTAACCCAAAGGATTTTTTGATAGTTTAAGAAAATGTCCTTAAAAATGACATTAAGTAGGAAGGACTTTTCCAGAGTAATTAGTTGTTTGTGTTCTATGCTCTTTGTCATATGCAAAATACAGGGTTAGGCAGAAGTAGGTTTATAATTGTTTGTATGGAAAATAATACAATAATTAATAAATAATAATACAAGAATAAACTGTTTTGCAACTGTAAATATTTACAACTGTAAACCTACTTTTGCCACACTCCATATTCTAGCTACCTTTACACAGCTGAATTATCTGTATTTTCCTGTTTCAAAACCATATTAGAACATAAGTAAAAAATATTTTCTACTTCTACTAGTCCTATGGCTGAAAATCATGCTTTTGAGTAATTTGAGTTAAACATTAACACTCACATTGATTGTTAGAGTGACGCTATTAAATACAAGTTATTTAACAAATATTTATTAAACAACTAGTATAATATCAAAAGCAATGCAAGGTGCTTAATTAAGTCTTCATGGAGCTTGGAGTGTATTTATTTTTCCTCAGGGTACCTACTGAAATTATATAATAACTATTTTGAGGGATTTTTTTTTTACTTTAAATATTTTTTTTATTTTTCAATTACAATTGATAAACATTATAGTGGTTTCAGGTGTATACGCCAGTGACTAGACATTATACAACTCACTAAGTTATCATCTCAATAAATCTAGTACCCATCTAATACCATACATAGTTATTACAATATGAACTATATTCCCTATGTTGTAGTGTACTTCCCCATGACTATTGGTAATTACCAATTTGTACTTCCTGATTCCTTCACCTTTTCCACCCATATTCCCCAACTCCCACCCCATCTTAAAGAAGATCCTTTAACTTTTCTTGTAATACTGCTTTTTCTTGTCTGAGGAGCTCTTTATCTGTCTTTTAGTTTTAAATGATAGGTTTGGGTAGAGTAATGTTGGTTATAGGTCTTTCACTTTCATCATTTTGAATAATTCTTGTCACTCTCTTTTGGACTACAATGTTTCTGTTCAGAAATCAGCTGACAGTCTTATGGTAACTCCCTTGTAGGTAACTAACTGCTTTTCTTTTGCTGCTTTTAACATTCTCTCTTTGTCTTTAATCTTTGGCTTTTTAATTATGATATGTCTTGGTATGGGCCTGTTTGGGTTCATCTTGTTTGGGCCTCTCTTCACTTTTTGAACTTGTGTGACTATTTTCTTCACTAGCTTAGGGATTTTTTCTGTTATTTTTTCACATAGATTTTCAATTCTTTGCTCTCTCCTCCTTCTGGCACCCCCAGGAGGCAAATACTGGCGTACGTGAAGTTGTCCCAGAAACTCCTTGTGCTGTCCTCATTTTTTTGGATTCTTTTTATGTTTTGCTGTTCTGATTGGATGTTTTCTCCTTCCTTATCTTCCAAATCTCTAATTTGATCCTTGTTTCATCTACTCCATTATTGATTCCCTGTAGTGTTCTTTATTTCAGATAATGTATTCTCCATTTATGATTGGTTCTTTTTTATGTTTTCTAGTTCCATTTTTATGTTTCCTATATCCTTGTTGAAGTTCTCACTGAGTTCCTGTACTCTTCCCCTAAGTTCACTGAACATCCTTATAGCCAGTGTTTTGAATTCTGCTTCTGATAGATTGTTTATCTCTATTTTGTTGAGTTCTTTTTCTGGAGTTCTGTTCTTTCATTTTGGAGACATTTTTCTTTGTCCCCTCATTTTGGTGCCTCCTTGTGTTGTTGATTTATATGTATTAGACATAGCTGCTATATCTCCTGGGCTTCGTTGAGTGGCCTTATGTAGTAGGTGTTCTGTAGAGTCCAGTGGCACAGCCTTCCCAGTCATCAAACCTGGGCATTCCAGCTGTACTCTCTATGTGGGCTGTGTACAATTTTCTACTGTATTTGAGCCTTGATTGCTGTTGGCACATCAACAGGAGAGATTTGCTCCCAGGCTGATCAGCTGCAGGGACTTGCTACATCAACTGTTAAGGATAAGCTGTGCAGGGGTCCACCCCACAGAGCAGGACTTATTTCAGCAAGGCTCTGGAACTGAGTCTCTCCCTTGAGTGTTTCATTGTGGAGATGGCTCTGGGGCCTCCTTGGAGGTACAGGCCAAGGTTAGCCACTACCTGTGCCCTGCCGAGAGCCACCCAGCATGAGCTACAAAACAATCTGCAGATGTCTGCTACTTGTGCTGGGCTTAGAGGTACCCAGGTGAGGCCAAACTGCAAATGAAGTCTGGCTGCCACTAATGCTGGGCCTGGGCCCACTTAGTGGTAGGTGAGAGGCATGCAGAGGCCAGGTGCTACTTGCTTGAGATTTTAGGAAAACCTGAAGCATAAACCAAGACAGGTCATTCCTACAGAAAAGTTACTAGAAACAGCTTGGGTGGACCTGCAATTTGAGTGAGGTGGGGCAGGGCCTCAGGGAATCACCAGGGCAGGGCAAACAGTATGAGCCAGGCTGATGAAGACTCAGATATGGTGCCCACCTGCTGGCTCTGTGGTGGGAGGGCTCAGAAAAGGAACAGTGGTCTCTGCCAGCACTTCTGTCTGGGAGAAAGATGCCCTTCCAGCTCATGCCCTGATGCCAGATCGTTCAGTTCCTCCCCATATATGCCCAGCAGCTTTCGAGCTACTGCCCCAGGGCTGGGGCTCAGAGCAAGTAAATCAAGTCGAGTCCTTCACAGGTCTTTTTAGAGGAATTCCTGGGACTCCTGGAGCCTCTGCCACACTTAGCCACAATCTCCATGGCTTTTTATAGCCA